ATGCGCACGATCATTAGCCATTAGAGAAATGTAGATCAAAACTACAATGAGATATCATTTCACCCCAACAAGGCTAGCATTAATCCAAAAAACACAAAATAATAAATGCTAGAGAGGTTGTGGAGAGACTGGAACACTTGTACACTGTTGGTGGGAATGTAAAATGGTACAACTACTTTGGGAATTGATTTGGCGCTTCCTTAAAAAGCAAGAAACAGAAGTACCATATGATACAGCTATCCTGCTCGTTGGAACATATCCTAGAGAAATAAGAGCTGTCACACGAATAGGTACATGCACACCCATGTTCACTACAGCATTGTTCACAATAGCAAAAATATGGAAACAACCTAGGTGCCCATCAGCGGACAAATGGATAAACAAATTATGGTATATCCACACAATGGAATACTACGAAACGATAAAGAACGATGAAGCCATGAAACATAACATGGAGGAATCTGGAAGGCGTTATGCTGAGTGAATTTAATCAGTAACAGAAGGACAAATATTGTATAAGACCACTATTATAAGAACTCAAGAAAAGGTTTAGACACAGAAGAAAACATTCTTTGATGGTCACGAGGGTGGGGAGGGAGGGCGAGGGTTATTTACTAACTAGATAGTAGAAAAGAATTATCTTAGGTGAAGGGCGGGTCAGCACACACTACCCGGGAAGTCAGCACAGCTGGACTAAAACCAAAGCTAAGAAGTTTCCTGAATACAATCAAACACTTCAAGGGACAGAGTAGCAGGGGTGGGGGTCTAGGGACTATGCTTTCAGAGGACATCTAGGTCAACTGGCATAACAAAGTTTATTAAGAAAATGTTCTGCATCCTCCTTTGGTGAGTGACGTCTGGGGTTTTAAAAGCTTGCAAGCGGCCATCTAAGATACATCAATTGGTCTCAACCACTTGGAGTAAAGGAGAATGAAGAACACCAAAGACACAAGGAAAGTAGTAGCCCAAGAGACAGAAAGGGACACATAAACCAGAGACTTCCATCAGCCTGAGACCAGAAGAACTAGATTGTGCCCAGCTACCACCACCAACTGCCCTGACAGGGAACACAACAGAGAGTCCCGGATGGAGCAAGGGAAAGGTGGGGTGCAGAACTCAAATTCTAAAAGAAGACCAGACTTAATGGTCTGAGACTGGAGGAACCCTGGAAAGCATGGCCCGCGGATTCTCTATCACCTCAGACCTAAATTCCCGGCGCCAGCTCTTCAGACAGGGATTGGACTGGACTGTGGAACATAGTGATACTTATAAGGAGTATGCCTCTTAGCTCCAGTAGATATAAGAGACTAAACAGGCAGCTTCTGTCTGGAGGTGAGACGGGAAGGCAGAGAGGATTAGGAGCTGGTTGAATGGACATGAGGAAGCAGGAGTGGAAAGGAGGAGTGTGCTGTCACAGTATGGGGAGAGCAATTAGGGTCACGTAACAATGTGTGTATTAATTTTTGTATGGGAGACTAACTTGAAATGTAAACTTCATTTAAACTACAACACTAAACAACAACAACAACAAGATTCCCAGAAATAAAGGATGAGAGTCCATTTTAAGAGTTCATCAAGGGTCTGGCACAAAGCATGAAAACAGATCCTCACCAGTGTACATCATTGTGAAGTTTTAGACAACTGACAATAGAGAAGGGCAAAAAACAGTCACATACAGTCTCAGGATGGCTTTAGATGCCAGCCATACCTAGAAGCAGAATCTTTGATGTAGTGAAAAAATGTGCAATTGTTCAATACAAATGATCTGGTAGGCAAGGTATGCACCGTGCTTACCTTGCCTATTGGATAATTTGCTCCTGGATGAATAGACATATAAAATGTGATCTATCCATACAATGGAATATTATTCAAGCATGACAAGGAATAGAAGAACTGATACATGCTATAATGTGGATGAACCTTAAGAACATGCTCAGTGAAAGAAGCCAATCACACAAGAATAGTGTATGATTCCATTTATATGAAACTTCCAAAATCAGCAAATCCATAGACAGATTAGTAGTTGCCTAGGGGTTGATGAGGATGGTGGGGGTTAAGAGGTATGGCTAAGGCATGTTTGGTTTATTTTAGGGGAGAAATGTCTGGCAGAATCTACTAAGGTTAAACATATACATCCCCTACTACTCAGCAATTCCATTCCTGATTTTAACACCCAGTAGGTATGAGTACTGATGTCTACCAAGATACATCCAAGAACAGCAGCACTCACTGTCATAGCCCCAAACTGGAAACAATCCAAACGTCCAGCAACAGCTGAATGGATAAATATATTGTGGTATATTCATAGAATATATAGAGCAATGGAAAAGTACAAACTATTGCTACATGTGATATGCAGATGACACAACCTTGCTTGCTCAAAGTGAAGAGGACTTGAAGCACTTACTGATGAAGATCCAAGACTACAGCCTTCATTATGAAAACAAAAATCCTCACAACTGGACCAATAAGCAACATCATGATAAATGGAGAAGACTGAAGTTGTCAAGGATTTCATTTTACTTGGATCTACAATCAACGCCCATGGAAGCAGCAGTCAAGAAATTAGACGACATATTGCATTGGGCATATCTGCTGCAAAAGACCTCTTTAAAGTACTGAAAGGCAAAGATGTCACTTTAAGGACTAAGGTACACCTGACCCAAGCCATGATATATTTTCAACCGCATGCAAAAGCTGGACTGTGAATAAGAAAGATCCAAGAACTGATGCCTTTGAATTATGGTGTTGGCAAAGAATACTGAATATACCGTGGACTACCAGAGGAATGAACAAGTCTGTTTTGGAAGGGAGGATGGCGAGACTTCATCTCATGTACTTTGGACATGTTATCAGGAGGGACCAGTCCCTGGAGAGGGACATCATGCTTCTTAAGGTGCAGGGTCAGCAAAAAAAAGAAAGACTCGACAAGATGAATTGACACAATGGCTGCAACAATAGGCTCAAACGTAACAGTGATTGTGAGGATAGCTCAGAACCAGGTAATGTTTCATTCTGTTGTACATAGGGTTGCTGTGAGTAGGAACTGACCCTACAGCATCTAACAACAGTCATGCAAGCACTTTAAATTGAGAGAAATGGAGGTAAATACAGACCAGTCAGCTAAGAGTTGAAAATGACGATCTTGAGGCAGTGAAAATGGGTGAGACCAGAAGGCAGCAGTGGGGGGCTGCTGTTTTTCATAATTAACCTTTTGGAACAATGTACTTGTTCAATACATGTTTAACACATCTTTCTAAAATGCAGAATATAAAACTTTATAAAGCTATATATATATATATAAAATTCCAATTTTAGGTTAATTTTCTTTACTGATTTAAAAATTTCCAAAATTTGACAGCAAACATTAGAAACAAAACCGTAAATGGGAGTATTTTTAAGGTACACTCCATGACTCCAGGATCTAGGCAGGGTCACAGCTAGCTCACTGTGCAGACCCATCCCACTGGGTGTCCTTGCATAGCCATCTTTATAGTAGTATAGTGATTACAAGACAAAATTTGTTAGAAAACCACTACTTGAGGCCAGGTTAACTGATGCATTGGACTTTCTTCCTCTCTCTGTTACTTGAACAATTTGTTCAATGAGCACTGTTCTAAGGTCCAGTAATCAAGTTGTGTCTTGATGGTTTATGCTATAGCTCATCCTAAACTGAATTCCTGCATAATCTCTTCTCGGTCTGACTTCTTCAGGTTGCTTTTCCAACGTCTGTGGCTTGTCAGTTGGAGACTTTACTTACCCTGTCCTCTATAAATACCTTTGCATCATTAAAATCCATGGATATGCTAATCAAGGTGGAGATAAACTGACCAGTCTGCTCCCCCACTCACCACAAATCACTGCTTGTGTAGCCAGGACATGAGCTACAGGTGTTGGTCACTAGGATTCTCTGAATTCCTTTTTTAAAAAAAATTTTAATTGTGGTAAAATATATATAAAAGTTGCTGGTTTCACCATTTTTAAGTGTATAATTCAGTGACATTAATTACATTGGCCATGTTGTGCAAATATCACTATCCATTTCCAAAAGCTCTTCACTACCTCAAACCAAAGCTCAGTACCCTTAAGCAATAATGCCCATCCCCTTGTCTCAGCCCCCAATAACCACTAACAAACTTTGGTCTCTATGTATTTGCCTATTCATTTCATGTAAATGGGATCATGTAACAGTTGTCCATTTGTGTCTTCCATGTCATAGCATGTATCACAATTTATCTTTATGGCTGAATAATATTCCATTGTATGAAAATACCACATTTTATTTATTCATTATCTGTTTATGGACACTTGGGCTGCTTCTGCCTTTCAGTTATTGTAATAGTGCTGCAATGAACACTGGTGTACACGTATCTGAGCCCGTTTTCAAGTATTTCATGTGTACCTAAACAGTATTGCAGGGTCATATTTAACTTTCTGAGAAACCACCAAACTGTTTTGGACAGGGCTTCACCATGTCGTATCCCTACCAGCAATGCACGAAGAGTTCCAACTTCTCCTCATCTTTGCCAATACTTTGTGCTTTTCTAATAACAGTCATCCTAATGGATGTGACCACCGTCTGTCAGTGTGTAGCCTGCGTGTTGCTGTGATGCTGGAAGCTGTGCCACCAGTATTTAAAATACCACCAGGGTTATCCATAGTGAACAGGTTTCAGTGGAGCTTCAAGACTAAGACTAAGAAGACCTGGTGATCTATTTCCAAAAATTAGTCAATGAAAACCTTACGGATCACAACAGAATTTATCCAGTATAGTGCTAGAAGATGAGCTTCCTAGTTTGGAAGGCACTACGGTATAGCTGCCACAACAGACTCAAATACATCAACGATCCTGAAGATGGGGCAGGGCCAGGCAACTTCCCATGAGTCTGAACTGACTTGACTGCAGCTAACAACAATGCTGGGTGTGAAGTGGTATCTAACTGTGGTTTTAATTTCCACTTCTCTAATGACACTGAGTATCTTTTCATGTGCTTATTGGCCATTTGTGTATCTTCTTTGGAGAAATGTCTATTCGTCCTTTGTCCTTTTTTGAATTGGGTTGTTTGTCTTTTTCTTTTGAATTGTAGAAGTTCTTTATATACTGTTACTCTGGGTATTAAAAACTTATCAGATATATGGTTCCCAAATACTTTCTTCCATCCTGTAGGTTGTCTCTTCACTTTCTTGATAAGGTCCTTAGATGCACCTTTGACTTACTTTTTAATATTAGATTTCTTTGGCAAATGCTGAACCATAAGTGTCGAAAGACAAACAAAATCCAGTGTGTGTGTTCTAGGAGTTTTTTGGAGGTGAACTTTTCTGGGGTTTAACCAGCAATTGGCCTAGAACAGCTTAACTCTTCTCAATAACTGTGCTACTTCAAAGTACTGGCACTCTCCCAGGACATCTCCCAGGGTGTCAAAATGTAACCTGCTGCCAAAGCAAACAGAACATCATACTCCAAAATGAACACATAGTCCTTACTTTCTCAAAAACAAAAACACGTATTTTATTTCGTTTAACATTTCCCCAGACCTAATGAGAATGCTGTCAAAAGCAAATCTAGGACATATATATAAGCACCCCCTCACCCCTACCCAGCTAACCTAAAAGAAAAAACAAGGGCAAAGTTCTGTTCAACAGATAAAATTATCTTCGCTTCTGGAAGATGTTTCCACGTCCCATTCCACGTCCTCTTCCTCTTGCAGCCACTGGAAGGTGGGAGAAAAAGCACAGGTTAGGGCGGCCAGTGTGTGCTCATGCCTGGAGCCTTAGTACATCAGAGCTGGAAGGAACATGAATGGCCACCTGTCCAACACCATCCCTGCCCTACTGCATTCACAGGGGGAAACAGAGACCCAGAAGGGGGGGGACTGGCACCTGGGCATCCCAGTTGGAGATGGCACCAGCCTACTGCCTCCCAGTTTGGCATTGCTCCCTCCAAGAGGCTGGGCGCAGGGCACTGAGAGCAAATGTGGTTTGGCGAGCAAACCTGAGACCTGCAGAAGAGATGAATTCTCAGGGATTGCCTGAGGACAGCCAATGAAACATTACAGATGCACTTAATTCACTTTTTAAATTCTGAAACAAATATGGTTAAATGTTAACATCTGTTAAACCTCGGTGAGGAATTTTCTTATTCTGTGAGCTTTTCTGCATGTGTGAAATGTTTCTTAACAGCAATCAAACAAAAACCCTCCCCATACAAGGGGCAGACTGCAGTTTTTCTCTATGATCCAAGGGTCTGGGAGGGGATAGGTAGCTCTGAAGGACACACATGGAAACATTCTGATGGCTACTAATTGGAACATCACCCTTCTCTTCTCTTACAGAGCCTGGAGCCATCCAGAAGAGAGGGAAGTCACAGGAGAACCTACCACATGCTGGCAGGACCAGAACATGGGGTTAGGAGAGCCAGACAGCTCAGGCACAGGACAGTGGGCCTGGGCAGACTCAATGCCAAGGCCCCTACTAGCGCACAGCTGCTAGGTCTCACCTGTTGCTAGAGAAGATGATGCAGCTACACAGTGACAAGGACAGCCCTGCCCAAAGGAAGCAGAGAGCGAGCGGCAGTCCTAGCAAGCAAGCCAGCCAGCATTTCTGAAAACCACTCCTACCCCTGGACCAAAGTTCCAAAATTCCCAGTTCTCTCCCCATGACCACCTTCTGCCTAGGAAGGGCCAGAAGAGTGCCTGGTTGGTTTTCCTTTTTTCTTTATTGTGATTTAGGTGAAAATTTTTCAGCGTAAATTAGTTTCTCATTCAAAAATTTATGCACAAATTGTTTCATGGCAGTGGCTGCAATCCCACATTGTGTCAGCACTCTTCCCCTTTCCCTTTCCACCTCAGGCTCACCATGTCCATTCATCCAGTTTTCATGTCCCCTCCCACCTTCTTGCCTTTGTTCCTGGGCAGGTGTTGCCCATTTGATCTCGTAAACTTGACTGATCTAAAAAGCACATTCTTCAGGTATGTTAACTGTTTGTCTTATAGTCCTGCCTAATCTTTGACTGAAAGTTAAACCTTGGGAGTGGCTTCAAGTCTGAGTTAGAACAGTGTCTGGGGGCCATAGTCTTGGGGGTTCCACCAATCTCTGTTAGACCAGTAAGTCTGGTCCTTTTTGTGAATTTGATCATTTATTCTACATTTTAATCCGGCTCTGTCTGGGACCCTCAGTTGTAATCCCAGTCAGAGCCATCAGTAGTGGCAGCTGGGCACCATCTAGTTCTTCTGGTCTCAGAGACATGTAGGCTGTGGTTCTTGTGGTCCATTAGTCCTTGGATTGCTCCCTTGGGTCTTCGGGTTTTTCTCCTCTCCTTTGCCCTCTCCTTTGCTCCAGACTTCTACAGAAGACACTGATAGTTGCATCTTAGATGGCCGCTTGGAGGCTTTTAAGACCCTAGACGCTACTCACCAAAGTAGGATGTAGAACACTGACTTCAAGAACTACATTGTACACCAGTTGATGCAGATGTCCCTCGAGGCTATGGTCTTTTACCTTTGAGCCTGGGAACCTCATCCCTTGAGGTATATAGTTATATCTAAGAGGTTTCCCTGACTGTGCCACTTGTGTGCTCTATTGTCTGTATTAATACATGAGCAGCACCTGTAGTCATGTATTAAGAAATTTCCACCACCAAACCTGTATCTGCTGGTGGGTGTGTACCCTTACCCCCTCCCTCACCTTTTGGCTTATCTATTTATGTATCAATTCATAGATTACTATTTGTTGATTCTATTGTTGCAGGATTCTCTATGCTATACTAGTTACCATAGGTTTCCTTTATTCCTGTGCTCCTCTCAGTGTCCTCTCCTGCCTTGGTCATGTTGTGCTGATTTCTCTCGTATTGCATACCGCCTTTCCCTTCACCATCTACTATTGCTTTGGTAATTTTTCCTCCCTTCCCCTCCCATCCCTGGTCGCCATCAAAAAGTCTTTTTTTCCCCCCCATGTTAGTCTGCTGTTACTTTATAAAAGCGGTCGCATACGGTATTTGTCTTTTTGTGATTGACATATTTCACTCAGCACAATGCCCTCCAGATTCATCCACGTTGTGAGATGTTTCGTGGATTCATCAATATTCTTTATCATTGTATAGTATTCCATTGTGTATATTTACCGGTTTGTTAATCCATTCATCTGCTGATGGGCACTAAGCTTGCTTCCACCTTTTTGCTATTGTGAATAATGCTGCAATGAACATGGGTGTGCAAATGTCTATTCGTGTCCCAGCTCTTATTTCTTTAAGAGTATATACCTGGGAGTGGGACTGCTGGATCATATGGTATTTGAATCTCTAGCTTTTTGAGGAAGCACCATACCGTTTTCCATAGTGGTCATACCATATTACATTCCCACCATTTGTTATCTTCTGATTATTTTTTTTGATTAGTGCCAGTAATGTCGGGGTGAGATGGTATCTAATTGTAGTTTTGATTTGCATCTCTCTAACTGCTAATGATTGTGAGCATTTCTTCATATGTTTGTTAACAGCCTGAATGTCTTCTTTGGTGAAGTGTCTGTTCATATTCTTTGCCCATTTTTTAACTGGATTATTTGTCTTTTTATTGTTGAGGTATTAAAGTTTTCTATAAATTTTGAAAAGAGATTAGACCCGTCGGATGGGTCGTAGCCAAAATTTTTCCCCCAATCTGTAGGTTCTCTTTTGAAGAAATCTTCTGTTGAGCATAAGTGTTTAATTTTTAGGAGGTCCCATTTATCTAGTTCATTTTGTTCTGTGTGTAATTTTTTAGTTATGTTTGGTAATCTACTTATACCATATATTAGGGTCCCTAGCGCTGTCCCTAATTTTTCCTTCATGATCTTTATAGTTTTAGGCTTTATATTTAGGTCTTTGATCCATTTTGAGTTAGTTTGTGTGTATGGTGTGAGGTATGGATCCTGTTTCATTTTTCTAGAGATAGATATACAATTTTGCCAGCATCATTTGTTGACAAAACTGTCTCTTCCTCATTCACTAACCTTTGGTCCTATGTCAAAGATCAGCTGTCCACAGGTGAATGGATTTATGTCTGGATTCTCAATTCTGTTCCATTGGTCTGTGTGTCTGTTTTGTACCAGCATCAGGCTGTTTTGACTACCGTGGCTGTATAGAAGGTTCTGAGATCAGGTAGTATGAGGCCTCCTACTTTGTTCTTTTTTAATAAGGCCTTACTTATTTGGGGCTTCTTTCTCTTCCATATTAAGTTAGTGACTAGTTTTTCCATCTAGGTGAAGAATGCTGTTGGGATTTGGATTAAGACTGCATTATATCTATACATTGCTTTGGGTAATACTGACATTTTTACAATGTTAAGTCTTCCTATCCAAGAGCATGGTATGTTTTTTCATTTATGTAGGTCTCTTTTGGTTTCTTGCAGTAGTGTTTTGTAGTTTTCTTTCTATAAGTCTTTTACATTCCTAGTTAAACTTATTTCTAAATATTTTCTCTTTTGGGGGGCTATTGTAAATGGTATTGTTTGCCTGATTTCCTTTTCACAGTTCTCTGTTGATGCAGAGAAATCCAAATGATTTTTGTATGTTAATCTTGTATACTGCCACTTTGCTGAATGCTTCTATTAGTTCCAACAGCTTTCTTGTGGAGTCCCTAGGATTTTCTACGTATTGAATCATATCATCTGTGAATAGGGATAGTTTTACTTCTTCCTTGCCAATGTGGATGCCTTTTATTTCCTTTTCTTGTCCTACGGCTCTCGCTAGGACTTCCAACACAATGTTGAACAAGGGCCTCCTTGTCTGGTTCCGTTCTCAGGGGAAATGCTTTCAGATTCTCTCCACTGAGGATAATGTTGGCTGTTGGTTTTGTATAAATTCCCTTTAAAATGCTGGGGAATTTCCCTTCTATTCCTATTTTGCCGAGAAATTTTATCAGGAATGGGTGTTGGACTTTATCAAATGCCTTTTCTACATCTATATGATCATGTGATCTTTATTTATGTGGTGGATTACGTTGAGTGATTTTCTAATGTTGCATGCGTGGTGTGAATCCCACTTGGTCATGATGTATTATTTTTTTGATATACTGCTGTATTCTATTGGCTAGGATTCTGTATCTATATTCACGAGGCATATTGGTCTGTAGTTATCTTTTTTAGTGTTATCCTTGCTTGGCTTGGAGCCCTGATGGCATAGTGGTTAAGAACTCGCTGCTAACCAAAAGGTTGGCAGTTCAAATCCACTGGATGCTCCTTGAAAACCCTATGGGGCAGTTCTACTCTGTCCTATAGGGTCACTATGAGTCAGAACTGACTTGATGGCAATGTTTTTTTGTTTTTTACTTGGCTTTGGTATTAGGCTTATGCTGGCTTCACAGAATGTGTTTGGGAGTATTCCTTCCTTTTCTATGTTCTGAAATAATTTAAGTAGAATCAGTGTTAACTCTTCTCTGAATGCTGTAAGAATTCTCCAGTGAAGCTGTCTGGACCAGAGTTTTTTTTTTTTGTTGGGAGTTTTTTCATGACCCCTTCAATTTCTTCTTTTGTTATGGGTCTGTTCAAATTTTCAACGTCAGTTTGTGTTAGTTAGGTAGTTGGTGTGGTTCTAAAATCTGTCCATTTCCTCTGGGTTTTCAAATTTGTTGGAGTACAATTTCTTGCAATATTCTGCTATGATCCTTTTAATTTCAGTTGGTTCTGTTGTAATGTTGCCCATCGCATTTCTTATTTGAGTTATTTGCATCGTTTTTCTTTTGTCGATTTGGCCAGTGGTTTTTCAATTTTATTAATCCTTTCAAAAAAACAGCTTTTAGTCTTGTTGAGTCTTTCTATTGTTTTTCTGTTCTCTGTTTCATTTATTTCTGTTCTGATTTTTATTATTTCATTTCTTCTGGTGATTATGGGCTTCTTTTTGCTGTTCTCTTTCTAACTATTCAAGTTGTAGCATTAATGTTTTGATTTTTGTCCTTTCTTTTTTGATATGTGGATTTATTGCTATAAACTGACCTCTGAACAATGCTTTTGCTGTGTCCCAAAGATTTTGGTATGTTGTGTTTTTATTCTCATTTGATTCTAGGAATTTTTAAATTTCATCTTTGATTTCTTCAATTACACAGTAGTTTTCAAGCAGAATGTTATTCAGTTTCCATTTATTAGGTGTTTTTTTTAAATTTTTTTATTGTTGCAGTTTAAGTTTACATTTCAACTTAGTCTCCCATACAAAAATTTATACATACATTGTTATGTGACCCTAATTGCTCTCCCCATACTGTGACAGCAGTCTTCCTTTCCACCCAATTCCCTATGTCCATTCAGCCAGCTCCTAACCCTATCTGTCTTCCCATATTAGATTTTTTTTCCTTGCTCTTCCTGTTATTGATTTCTACTTTTATAGCATTTTGCTCAGAGAAGATGCTTTGTATTATTTCAATGTTTTTTAATTTGCTGAGGCTTGCTTTGTGGTCTAAAATGTGGTCTATTCTGGAGAACAATCCATGAGCATTAGAGAAGAATGTATACTTTGTTGCTGTTGTGTGATGTGCTCTATATGTTTATAAGGTCAAGTTGATTGACTGTAGTGTTTAGATCTTCTGTGTATTTGTTGAGTTTTCTAGTTGTTCTGTCCTTCACCAAGAGTGGTATGTTAAAGTATCCTAGTATTACTGTGGAAATGTCTATTTCTTTTTTCAGTGCTGTTAGTCTGTTATATGTACCTTGGAGCTCTGCTGTTGGGTGCATATATATTATGGTTACATCTGCTTGGTGGACTGACCCTTAAATCATTATATATGTCTTTCCTTGTCTTTTGTAGTGGATTTTTCTTTAAAATCTATTTTATCAGAGATCAATAATGCCACTTCTGCTCTTTTTTGGTCATTGTTTGCTTGATCTCTTTTTCCATCCTTTTAGTTTATTTATATGTTTGTGTCTCAGGTGAGTCTCTTGCAGACAGCATATTGATAGGTAGGTGTTTTTTACCCATTCTGCCATTCTCTTGTCTCTTTACTGGTGCATTTAGGCCATTTATATTCAGTGTGATTATCGATAGGTATGAGTTTATTGCTGTCATTTTCTTGGTTTTTTTTTGTGGTGTTGACTGTTTCTTCACTTAATTTTCTGAGCTTTTTTTTTTTTTTTTTTCGGATTGTGGCTTGTCCATTTCCTTCGTCATTTTTGGTTTTGTCTGTGCTGAATCTCTATGATTTTCTTATTTTATATTTTGATGAGTAGTTTTGTTGACTCTCTTTGTGGTTAGCCTGAAATTTACCTTTATCTTCCTAAGTTTAAAGCAGTAATTTATTTCCTGATACCACCTTGACTTCCTCTCCATATGAAAGTTCTAAACCTATACCCTTTATTCCCCCTTTATGTTTTCAAGTTATCATCAGTTACGGATTAACATCTCTGGTTCCGTTTTCCATCTTTTAGGTTTATTTTATTTTCTAGAATTCTTTATCTGGGTTGATACCTGTCTGATGTTGTTACGTGTTTTAATCTCAAGTTGTTGTCTGGTGTGTTATTAGTTTTCTGTCCGAAAGACTCCCTGTTAATATTTCTTGTAAAGTTGGTCTGGTTTTTAGAAACTGCTTTCATTTCTGGCTATCTGGAAATGTCCTAATTTTACCATCATATATGAGAGTAATATTGCTGGATTTACAATTCTTGGTTGGCAGTTTTTTTCTTTCAAGGCTTTATATATATTATCCCATTGCCTTCTTGCCTGCATGGTTTCTGCCAAGTAATCAGAACTTAGTCTTAATCAATGTCCCTTTGTAGGTGATTTCTTGGTTTTCCCGAGTTGCTTTCGGGATTCTTTGCCTTTGGTTTGGAAAGTTTGATTATATAATAGTCTCAGTGTTCTTCTATTGAGATCTATCCTGTATGGGGTTCGTTGTGCTTCTTGTATGGTTATCTTCTCGTCTTTCATGATACTAAGAAAGTTTTCTGTCAGCATATGTTCAACAATTCTCTGTGGTTTTTGTTGACTCCTCCCCTTCTGGAATTCCAATCGTGCATAAGTTATTCCTCTTAATGGTGTCCCACGTAACTCTTAGGTTTTCTTCATTCTTTTTTCTGATTGTTCTTCAAACAGACTAGTGTCAAGGGACTGGTCTATTCTGCTGATCCTGACTTCCATTGTTTCAATTCTACTCCTATTACTTTCCATTGAGTTGTCAAGTTCTGCAATTTTACCATTAAGCTTCTGGATTTCTAGTTGCTGTTTCTGTGTCATTTCCAGCTGTCTATTTAGTTTGTTCTTGTAGTGTTTTCCTGAATTCTTTTAGTGTTTAGTCTGTGCTTTCCTTGGTTTTGTCTGTGTTCTTCACAGTTTTGTCTGTTGTTTTCCTTGATTCTTTTGAGGACCCTATACATAACCCTTTTGAATTTCTTATCAGGAAGCTCCATTACCTTTTCCTCCTCAGGGAGGATTTCTGGTTCTTTATTATGGTCACTTGCTTGGGCCATCTTGCCCTGCTTTAGGTGGTTTACTACTGTCTGTTGTCTCCAGGACATTAAGGGGTTATTGTATTTTTTTTTTATTTGTATAATTATTGAGTCTTGTTTTTGTTTTTCTTTTGTGATTCCTGGCAAGTGTGGCTGGAGTGGTGCTCTGGTTGCTGGACTGGCCATGCTGAAGCCCTCCCTACCTGTCTTTGGCAGGCAGAATGGTGGACAGGTGTGGGAGCTTCAGTCTCTGTTTACTGATCTTTCGGGGCAGGTGAGGGTGGGTTGGTTTGGCTTTGGCCTCAGTCTGTCTTCAGTTTGGTGGCTCACGTGCAGGGCATGTTGCTCTCTGTGCAGGTGGAGTGGCCAATGTGTTGGGCAAGTGGGAGCATGCTCATCTCTTCTCACTGGTTGCAGGGGGGAGGTGTGAGTGGTAGAGTGGGGCAGCAAAGGGATGTTCACACAGTCACTCTACCTCCACCTCCTCTTAGGGGGAGGGAGAAATGGCAGGCAGACATTCACTCAGTCTCGTTGAACCTGTCCTGAGGTCAAGGGCTGCCGCTCCTGAGTATCTCCAGTTTTGGATCTGGCATCCTCCCTGTCTCTACTTCTTTCCTTATGTGTCTATAGAGATTCTCTATCCCTGTTGGGAAGGTCATGAAGTTTTCTTCACCCAGGATCGCTGCTAGCTTTGTCCTAAGTTAGCCACCGTGGGCCTGAATGGCTGGCTGAACTCCGCCACTCTGTGTTACTCCTCTTTCGCTGCTTTCCTCATTCCTTCCAGTCAGTCCTTAGACTTTCTTTTTTGATGTTCAGGGTTCCTGGATTGGTATCTGCTTCCGTTTTGCTTAGTTTTTTGGGTCTTTGGTGCAGGAGGACATTATGGTGCGTGTGACTAGGATGCCGTCTTGGCTCTGCCCTCTCTGGTCAGTTTTCTTGGAGGGCATTTCAAAGGATTGCTCTATTGCATCTTTAAACTCAAAAGCTACCTCATACACAAGATATGTACAGAGCTAATTAACAGCACTGATAGAGAACGCAGTATTTCCCTGCACTGCAATCTTTTTGCAATATGAAGATAGTTTCTAACAACTGCACATGTTTTCACATTGAATCAACAGGGGAGATCTTCCCTTGGGCCCAAATACAAAACCTCTGACTGGGCTGACCCAGAGGAAAGGCCAGGCTAAACCACTGGAAAAGGCTGAAGTCACACTACTGGAATGTTCTAAAGAAAGGACTTATTTTCAAATGTAATAAGCTTTGAAAACAGAAGTCCAGCACCCTTGAATGGGTAAAAGTAGCTCAAAGCTGGTTATTTCTGATCTGAAAATGATCCCCAACATCAGCATTTCTTCCAGCACATGCTGTGAGGTGCCAGTGCATGTGCCCCACTGCCCTGGGCCAGGCTGCTCCAGAGCTGTCTCCATACACCCTGTGTGTCTGTTCCACACACTAGATTACAGCATCCTTCCCCAGTCTGTGGGGGGCCAGGTCTTCTGGAACGAAGGGCCCCCTGGAGATGCATTAGAGGAGAATAACTCGTGAAGACAAGGGTCCCCACCTTTTTTCTACAGAGCCCCTGTGACTGGGAGAAGTCAGCCTCCTACCCTGCAGGGTCCCCCAAGGCTACCAGGAGAAGGGGAGCAGTGGGCAAGGAGATGGCTGAAGCCGAGTCCACCCCCACCCCCAGGCAGTAACAGGGCCTGTGCCTGAGAAGCACCTACCTTGGGCCTTCAGGATAGCAGCTTTCCCCCGGCCAGCCCCAGATCCTTGGTTTTTATTCTTCATGCTCTTTAACATGGGTGCGTTTTTCAGCATGTCAGGCAAAATTAGGAAGCGGATCTTGCTGCCACGGATGTATACCTGCTCCAGCTGTGCCACTCGGCCATCTCTGTAGGTGACTGTGATGTTGGACATCTGGAAGGGAACCGCCAGCTCGTCAGCAAGGGCCTATGGCACCAAGGATGACGGGGCACGCAAAGAGGGGAGCCTCGGTGACCAGAGATACAGAACCTGGCATTGTGAAATGGGGCCAGGCAAAGCTGGGGGGCGGAGGGCAACACAACAAACGTGGCGTTCACAAGTTATGTAGTGTGTGCACCAGGGACTGCAGGAAAGAATTCACACGTATCCTCACAATCCCCCTGAAGGCAGAGCTTACCTACCCATTTTTACAGATAAAAAACTAAGGCACTTGTCTAAGTCAAACAGTCAGAATATCGGGGACTTCAGAGTTGAACCCAGTGAACCAGCTGCCAGAGTCCTAGCTTTCAACCACACTGCCATACTACCTCCACACTCGAGGTTTGCTAGAGCACACTAAGCGCTCTCACATGGTGATGAACTCTTAACTGGAACGGCTTCAAATGGCCTGTTGAATCCCATGTCCTCTCCTCCATTCGCCAGGTGCTCAGACTGCAAAGGCACAATGAGGCCGCAGGCATGTACCACCCTGGCTCCTCCCCTCCCAGAGCACACACTCCATAGGGCAGTGGCAGTGCCTGCACAAAGGGCCTACAACACTGGGAAGGTGTGAGGCAAGAGCTCGTATGAGAGCAGACGGGACCCTCAAGCAGGAATACTGGCACGACGGGTTCGTGATGGGCTGTCTGACGACAGGGACTCCACTCCAAAGGTTATGGGGCCTCTCAAACTATGGGCAGAGAGGCTTCGGGCTGCACGGTGGCAGCACAGACAGACTGTAGGATGGAGAGAGGGAGCGCCTGGAGGCAGGCCAGTCAGGAGACTGGCTTGGCTTGCAAAGGTGACACAAATCTGCAGTGCAAGCTCAGGAGCACGACACTCGCTAGAGAAGATAACTCATTACATTGGTCTTCTGGATCAAGAAGAGAAAACTGTAATACAGTCAGAATGGGTTAAGTCATGCCAGAGAGATCTGCTGTCCCTGACTCCTAACTGGCTGGTGGCCATCGTATTCTCAATATAAGTCTCTCTTCACTACAAGTGCTAGCTGGCTCCCTATGCCTGCTTGAACACCAGAGTGTGAAAGAGACTAACGATGCTCTAGGGCCACCCTCCTGTATCTGTGCCATTTGGAATGCTTTCTACAGCTTCACCTCTCAGGACCTGAGTCTCCTGTGCACCTGCCCCACGCTCAACACTCCTAGTTCTTCAAGTTTCCATGCAGTTTTTAAATCCTAGACATCCTGCTCTTCCCCTGAAGAACACCACAACCTCTGGTGCCACAAATTAACACAAGGTATGTTAGACTACCCAGGTCACTACCCATCACGTGGGTCATGCACAAGGCAGGGAACAGGTCCTGGGAACCTGTATGTGAGTCTGGCCTTGTCAGGGGTGTGACGTGGGGCAAGTCTCCAGTTCCCTCAACTACAAAGCGAGGAAAACAAAATGCAACACAACAAAGCCAGCATGTACTGAGCACTCACTACATGCCAAGCCTTGTCCCAAGTAGTTTTCACAGTGTAACTCATTTGACACCACAGAACTCTATTAGGCAAGTACTCTTCCTAACTCACTGGACAGATCAGGGAGCAGGTTCTTGGGGATGCAGACTTGCCCACAGAGGCTCATGCCCTCAGCCGCTCTCTATTCTCCTGCCTGAGGTCAGACTGCCATTACATGGCTTGTATTTGATTTGAACCCAGGTTTAGCTGACCCTAAACCACACTTTTAACCACTACCTCAGACTGCCACTTACTTCCTAAAACTGTTGAAGATCAAATTAAACTAGACGACCAGTTGCCGTTCGAGTCAACTCCAACTCATGGCACCCCCATGTGTGTCACAGTAGAACTGTACTCCATAGGGTTTTCAAAGGCTGATTTTTCATAAGTAGACTGCCAGACTTTCTTCCAAGGAGCCTCTGGGTGGACTTGAACCTCCAATCTTCTGCTTAGCAGCGAAGCATGTTAACTGTTCATACCACCCAGGCACTCCATAATATTTTTAATGTACCCCAATTTGTTTAGCCATAATCTATTCAACAGAAATGCTGGCTGTTGTTAGCTTTTTGTTATCTTAAAAAAAAAAAAAAAAGTACTGCACATATACCCTTGTTTAGAAGCCTTTGTCCACAATTTTGAATGCGTTTCTATGAGAATTATTACTGCACAAAAAGGGCATGAACTCTTCTAAGGAACTTGACATACTGTTAAATGTGTTTCTAGAAAGGATGTACCAATTTATACCACCATGAGCAGTGTAGGAGAAAGTCTTTAAAGCATTATTTTTGCCTATTTGCTACTTTAAAAATTCTCAGATTTCTAAGTTGTGTATTTTATCATTAATAAGACCATTATTTTTGTATTTTAAATGTCCACTTGTTTTTTCTTCTGAATTATCAGTTTCATGGCTTGTCTACTTTTAGTTGGCTTGTTTACTTTTAGTTGGGATATTGACATTCTTCACATATAAGACTATGTATTTAATACGACAAACTTCTCCCATAAAAAAAGTTACAGAATGTCCTAAAATGTCTGAATATAACCACAACTAGACTGGGAGAACTCTTCTAGTGTTTACCATGAATCTAAGAAGGAACCTCCGGGAACCCTTCACCTGGATTCCTAATAAAATCAACAGCTACAAAGATCTTCCCAAAAAGTTACACAATTACAGTCTAATCTGTAAAACAAAAATTATGTGCTTATTCCTCCTCATTATACCTCATCTTTAAAGTTCTTTTATAGTTTCTAATATTTTATCAAATTATCTCCTTTTTTTCTTAAGAAATTTTTTTCTTATTTTGAAGAAAAATCCCTTATTTCCCCCCTTGACATTTAATAAAGACAGGAGTGCCTTAAGTCTATGTCAAGTACACAGAGCCAACATCCCCATTTGGAGGTCCTGGTTCTCAGTTACCCCTCCTGGAGCTAGGTAACAGACTGGGCATATGTTCCTCCACACCCATCAGGTCCCATCCCTGCTAAAATCAGAAGTCTACTAAAGAGAACAACATGCAGGGCCCACCAGTGGCCCTGTTCACCCACACCCACACCCACATGGGGCCCTCAGGAGATGCTCATAACAGCAGCTGATGTCATATCCTGCAGCCTTGGCCATCTTCCTGGCCAAGCCTCAGAGGCACAGAAGTGCCTATGTCCTCTGACTCCATAAGCCCCACTTCAGGGATGTCATCTTGTTCTGGTTTAACATAAATGTCAAGAAAAGAACAATGGATTCTGGGAGAATGGTGGCATACACTGACCATCATTCTGAACCTCCCTCACAAATACAACAAGGAAATGGTGCTCAGCCTTGAGGAACTCTGAACTGGGAAGCAGAAGAAAGCAGCAAGGAACTATAAACAGCAAGAATCAGCAAGTCAGCAATGAGCTGCACAGGGTAGGAAAATCACTTTTCTCATTGCCCCTGCCCCTCCCCCTAGCAAAAGAGCCTGCTTCCCTAACGACCACACCCCCTGCCTGTGCAACAGATAGGACCCCAAGCTTCTGCTCTAAAATAAAAAAGGCAGACCTCCTCAGGGGTCCGTTTGGAGTGTGCCAGCACCTCTCCCACCCGGACACTATCAGCTGTAAGGCTGCTGTGAATTACTACAGAAGGCCCCTGCAGTGGAATCTGCTCCCACTGTCAACATTCTACCTGCCTCCCTGCTCACCTCATGGAAATACTGCAACTGAAAGGAACAATAACCAAATAAGAAACACAATGGGAAGACTTTAACAACAGAATTAATCAGGCAGAAGACAGAATCAACAGATTACAGTATAAGATAGTCAAAATCACAGAGGCTGGAAAACAAGAACAGAGGCTTAAAAAGGCTGAGCACAGTTTAATGAAATTATGGGACAACAACAAGAGATCTAATATACACATCATGGGAATTACAGAAGTAGATGAGACAAAGACACAGAATATTCAAAGAAACAATGACAAAAAATTTCCCGTCTGACAAAGGACATGAATCTACAAATTCAAGAAGTTCAAAGACTCCCAAGCAGGATAAACCCAAAGAGATCTACACTGAGACACATCACAGTTAGGCTCTCAAAAAGTAATGATAAAGAAGAGAATCCTGGAAGCACTGAGAGAGAAGCCAACAGTCACAAAAGATCCCTAATAAGATGACTGCCAATTTCTCCTCAGAAACACTGGAGGACAGAAACAATGGAATTATATAGTTAAAGTGTTGAAAGAAAAAAGTCAATCAAGAATACTATACCCAGCTAAACTGTCCTTCAATAATGAGGGTGACTCAACAAAATCCACAACACTGAGATAATACAAAGTAACTTCTCTGATCACAATGCCTTCAAAGTAGAAATTAACAACAGGAAGAACAAGGGAAAAAAATCAATTACATGGAAACTAAATAACATCCTGCTTAAAAACCACTGGGTAATAGAAGAAATAAAAAATGGAATCAAAAAATTCCTAGAATCAAATGAGAATGAAAACACATCACACCAAAACCTTTGGGACACAGCAAAGGCAGTGCTCAGAAATCAAGTTATAGCAATAGATGCACACATCAAAAAAGAAGAGACAAAATCAAAATATTAGCTACACAACTCGAACAGAGAACAGCAAAAGAAGCCCACAGCCACCAGAAGAAAGGCAATGATAAAGATCAGCGCAGAAATAAATGAAACAGATAATAGAAAAATAATAGAAAGAATCAACAAAACCAAAAGTTGGTTCTTTAAAGGGATCGACAAACCACTGGCCAAGCTGACAAAAACAGGAGAGGACACAAATAACCCAAATAAGAAATGAAATGGGCGACATTACAACAGACCCAACTGAAATAAAAAGGATAACAGAGTACACAAAAAACTACACTCCAACAAATTTGAAAACCTAGAGGAAATGGACACATTTCTAGAAACACACTACCTGCCCAAACTAACACAAAATGATGCTGAAAATCTGAACAGACCCATAACAAGAGAAAAGATTGAAAAGGTAATTTA